ATACATGCACCAGTGAACCTACAACTACACGATTTATATTTTAAAAATAATTAAATTCACTTAGCATTCAAAACTTGCGAATTTTGAAAAAAACAAATTTGCTGATTAAATGCGGACAACCGTTTAACTGAAGTAAAACGAGTTTTCCCCTTGCTATGGATCTATGGATGTCTGCCTAGTTCATTTCAGCCACATTCCGCTACAGTTCGCCTTTATTATCAGTTCGAAATGGGGTGGTTCCATAATACCTGCAGTGTTCCATAATACCACCTTCTCCTCTACTTAACATTAAGAACACAAATACTTTAGTATAAAGGAAAATAAATGTATTGTGTATGTAATCTCTGAAGAAAGATGTCGAGACTGTAATTAAGAATTTCTGGCAAATAATCAATTATTTGTGGAAATTTTCTGATGATAAAAGAATTTTGTTAATCTATTGATTACAATCTGACAATGTCAGTATTGTTTAATTTAAATATAATGTATAATTAAATGTATTAACATCATTAAAATATTTTAATACGTACTCTATACTACGTGTTTATGTTTATCTTTTTGTTTTGTTTTTTACTAATTGTTTTAATACAGTATTAAAATAAATATATTCATATGCACAATCGTTATTTCTTCATTTCTTATATTCCAGCTACAAATATCTGTAATTAGTAATAATATAAATATAAAAGAATAAATTTAACCCAAACATTCGTAACGTCATAAAGACAGGACGCTATAAGAATTCTATGGCGGGGCCTTCTAAATCAAATTTTCTCTGTTCGCATGAAATTATAACGCGACACTCTTTATTTGTCTGTATTAACGATTCCAATAGGGCAATCGACTCAATTGTATTATTCATAATTATTCATAGTGATCCAGATTTAAAAATCGTTTATATTCGCTGTAATTTTTTATTATATTTTTATTTAAAAAGTCACGAGACTACGCTTAATTGGGCCTCCTAATGATAAATTTCCGATTTTCACGTACGTAACTCTGTTCTCGATATTAAAGAAAGACAGTCAAGCAGACTGTGTATAACGAAATTCTACAGATTTAAAATTTTAGCCCAGTTAGTAACACAAGTGAAGTCAGATAACTGCTGCAAATGATAACCAATCAATAATAAATAAAATTAAATAAATCTAAATCTAATGACGTGATAAAGGGTCCTGGAGACACTGTCTCACTAATTACTAGTGACTAATGACCAGAAGTTCATTGGAAGGAGCCGTTCTGTAGGTTTTGCATATCCTGATGGTGAATTTTCTCTGGGTGGAGGCAAGCTTGCGGCGAATATGTTGTTTATTAAGCGCCTGTTGCCAAACTGGTGTTATCACACTTTAACAGAAAAGGAAGTTTCTCATCTAATTTCGTATGCTTTACAAATATAACAAAATTTTGTTAAAAGTAAATTACGAACTTTGGATTTTCGCTAAATATTAATACTGCATTAATTGTACTTTAGTTAATTGTAACTCTATTTTTTCCACATAACTATGAAACTTATTTTACTGTTGTTTCGCAGAAAAGATAATCAAATTTAAATTTATTTTCATGTTTTATTCGTAATTTAATTCATTTATTTTATAAATTTTCCTTTTTTTTATTTCTATTTTGTTTTTTAATTTTAACGTTTAATTATCAGGTTACCTATAATAGTATAAAGTAAACCAGAAAGTTTTCAGATTTAAAAAATGTGATTAAATAGGCATATTTCATTTTTAGTTTCTTAATATCAACATTAATAAATGCGTTTAAAAGTGCCCTAACTAGCCATTCCTGTGTCCTGTGCAGGAATTTGCATTTAGGCCCCTTAATTAATAAGGTTTGGGAAAGTAATAAAACAAATACATGCATGTTGGGCTCCTCTTGCAAGTGAACCTTGTGCGGGTGCACCTGTCGCACCTACCTAGTTACGGCACTGGTATTAACTATATAACACTTGATTTTATAGCTGAAAAGTGTCGGGTGTGCTGGAAACGTGTCACCACTGGAGTTTCTTCCGTTAAATTTGTCCTACTAGAACAACCCCTCTGTCGACCCACTACTGTTGCCATGGCAACACGTCTTGGAGTAGGACCAGTCCAACCAGTCGGCCATAGTACGAAAGAACCCTAACAAAGACAGGCAAGTAAACTCACTGTTTTTCTTCTCGTTGTAGCAGTAAAAAAAAAGGTGCACAATCAAAGTTAATAGAAGTCAACAGGTAGCGCGTCACCAACTCACGTCATAGTTCGTAGCTACGAAACCCACGTGATATATGATAAACAAATATTGTTCCTAGAATCCACCTCGTTTTTATGACTCGTCTGGCAAAGCCCTTTTTCTTAGGTCTTCAGATATTTTGTTCATCCACGTTTTCCTGCGTCTACTATAGGTCTTCTCCCCTTCATTAGGAGCATTGATGCTACGAGATATGGAAGATTTAAGATCGACGGGGTGGAGCGTTAATTGGAGTCATATGTATGTCCAGGGTATGCAGCGGCAACGAAAAGCGGCACTTTCGCCGCGCGACTGCACAACCACACAAGCGGCAAACTAATTACATTTCTGCGCTTGCGTACAGTATTCAAGATGGCGATCGATACCGACACTGCCAGTATCCACGTGTTTACAAATTTTGTTTTGTACGGCTTTATTTAACTAAAAAATTTTATCTAAGTTATGGATTAGAGATATTTTCTTGGATCGAGGTAGAACTCATCTACAAAATATGCTTATTCTTCGATGAAGATTTGTCGATAAAGAATACCATTTCGATTAACATTCGTTTGCTAATAAATCTAGGGGAACGAAAAATAACAAGTGGAAGACAGGGTACACTGGAGGTAGAGTATTGGACGATGACCGTAGGCAAAGGTTGGGTTACTGACAATCTTTTCCTGAACTCTTTTAAAACGAGTGTGAAAGTACATTGCGTTTAATGATTTCCGGTTTTTCCTTTAATTTCGTTTTACAAAAATCGGGGAAAATATCGAAGAAATATAACAAACTTTTGTTAAAAGTTAATTATAGTATTTACTCGAATATAAGACGATCTTGCGTATAAGACGAGGTGTGATCTTAAAGATCAAAATAAAGAAAATTAGATTTATTAATGCAATTCTAATTTTATTTCGTTTAATAAAAAATAAAATATCAAATGCAGGTAAATGCACTCTTTCTCCCGCAAAAATTACTGGCATTTTAAACTTCAAAGAAAAATCTTGTAAAATCGACAAAATAATTTGTTCACGTAAAGCGCGACAATCGAGAACCTTTTTTTTTTGCCAATTCTTCGTCGATTACACTTACGAGTTTCTTCGAATTTCCAAATAATCATTTGTATACACATGAGAATGAATTAAAACTTATACTGTATAGGGCTCTCGTGTAATCCATATAACAAGTGATTTTGTAGCGGCAAAGTGTCACGTGTGCTAGACACGTGTCACACTCTAGTTTNTTACACTTACGAGTTTCTTCGAATTTCCAAATAATCATTTGTATACACATGAGAATGAATTAAAACTTATACTGTATAGGGCTCTCGTGTAATCCATATAACAAGTGATTTTGTAGCGGCAAAGTGTCACGTGTGCTAGACACGTGTCACACTCTAGTTTCTTCCGTTGACCCTGAAAGTGCACCTTTTGTTTACTGCTACAACGGCAACAATAGTAATGAGTTTACTCGTCTTTCTTTATTGCTTGCTCTAAATTTCGAATGAACGTTTAATTTATTAATTATTTGATTGAATAGAGATCGTTGACTTACGAGAATATCGTAAATCGAGAAAATGAAGATAAAGGAAGAGTTAGAAACGAATTGTTCGGACTTTACAATTGAACGAACGGAAGAAAATTTTGAAGTTGATTTTAAAAATATCAAGAGAGAATTTAATACGGATGTCAAGTGTTATAAAACAATTTAATCGGAACCTTTAAAGGTAAGTGAAAAGTACTTCTTTATAAGATCGCGGTGTTGCTTTAAGGACGAGAAAAAAACGACTGTAATGGTAAAATATAAAGTGGGAAATAGAAAAAAAAATACTTGTTCTGAAATATCCGATGGTTAAGCTGTTTTTAATGTTGATTTAGTGAATGTCTCTTTAATCCGAAAAAATCTTTTCGGTAGACTACCTGATAGCCAATTCAGGTTATAAACTCTTTTTATTGTTTTTTACAGATGCATTTCGAGCTAGGTTAATTTACTAGCTCCTCCTCAGTGCTTTAAGAGTTTCCATGAGTTTCTAATTTTTACACTTATACGGTACTTTTAGTCCCGTTTACAATATTTTTACCATTTTATACAATTACTCAAAGGGCTTGTATCTTGTATTATAAAAAAGGTCTGCTTGCTACTGATTTCTGTTTTAATTAAATTACTTTAAGAACTTGTACCTTGTTATATCATAAAAATGTACTGCTTGTTACAAGATTTCTTTTCAATTAAAAGCATATTATCTTCCAAAGGTTGACAGTATACGTTTGTACAACTTTTTTAAAACTTTTCTAAGAAACAATTTAGAATACTCATTAGAAAAAAACTATATTTTTAAACAGTATATTTGTATAAATAATGGTCCCACGAGCTTTAAACTGAGCTACGTTATTTTCAATTTCAAGTAACAGTCATTTCGGTTCTTTATTATGAAATTTGACGTTTTGGCCACGGTGTTCGTTTTAAAAAGGATAACCCTTTTTTACTGACGAAATTTTTGTGGTCGTACTGTCTTTAAAATTTTTTTATTGTTGTGCATACATTACAGCTGACTGGCAATTACCTGTTCCTATTGTATGAAGTCAAGTTTTGCACAGTTGTACAGTACGTTTCACATTGTCGGATGTTATATCTTCTTAACAAGTATTTGAATCCTGTCAGATTTTACACTCCGACTTCTTTATACTTTCGCTTTTTACAAGATCCGGAAGTAAGAGAAGTTTAAACTTATTCTAATTGCAAAAAGAGACAATCAGCCAGCAGATATTTAGTGACATGGTCACAATGCCGGGCTGCAATTTTTCATTATATTATTCATTCATTTAATTTAAAATAAATATGCTTATCATCTGAAATAAGTGGTATACATTATTAAACTTGCCAGTGTACGTTAAACTTTTCCTGTTAGTAATGGAGTCGCGACGTTCAAAGACTGCCAAACAGTCGTACAGACTAAGAAAAGTGGCAATTTATAAGTGTATTATCAAATTGCAGTCCGATTCTTAATAAACTATTATTTACATATTCACATAGTATCAGATTTATTTAATTGGTCAGGAGGTTCCGATAAACTGTGTCTTTGCTAAAACCGGAATTCAAGTTGTTTGAATTCAACATTTTCCTTTGAAAGTTGTTAAATAAATGAAAGGCATTACTATTAAAAGTAAAGTACTGTAGTTAGTAAGCTATATTTTTAAATAAATTATTTAGTAAGTGTATTTTTATGCTTCAATTTAAATAATTTTTTCATTCGTTTTTCAATAAAGATTAATCAGTCTAATAATATAACATATTCTTTTATTATTTCAGATAAATATTAAAGGAAAACCAATTTCCACACGCAACACAAACGGATCCACTATTTGGAGTCATTCTAATTATATAGTTGGAAAAGGTTAGAGTGTTAATACTATGAAAGTATATTCCTAATGATTAGAATAATAGGTAATAGGTAAATTTATGTTCATATAAATGAAAATAATAACGTTTGAAAAACTTTGCGAATACGTCGTGTATAGTGAATAAAGATTTAAATATAATTTAATATTATCAATAACATTTAATTCAGTTGACAGATTTAAAATTGTCAATTCAATTGACAGAATCTTGAAAAGTGCAGTTTAGTGTTTTAGATTTCAATGAAACGAGCAATTATTTATTATGATATCGTCACGATGACGGGCTGCAATTTTTAATCATATGTTTAATGAAATGATTAGAGAAATTGATTTTACCTCTATGTATAATTTAACTAATTAAAATGTCTACAACCGTGAGACAAATAAAAGGAAAGGGTTATCACACTAATTATCATAGGAAGGGATTCTCACCTTAATGATAATTGGTGTGATAAGCCCTTCCTATTATCTGCCTCAGACTTGTAGATATTTAAATTAATTTAATATTTTTAATGTATTTAATTTAAAATATATGCTCTTCATCTTAAATTAATAGTGGCTTGCTTCTGTATATTATTTTTTTCTTTTAACAATGTACTTTTGCCGGTCATTTATTAACTGTTTTCACCAGAAAAGATTTTAATTGAAATAACGTGGCTTTCGATTTTCACCAAAATTTCGTACACAGTTAATCGGTGTAAACTTTAAATCTTTCCATGTTATCTGGTCTCGGCTTCATCTTCGTCCGAGATTAAGAAGAAACTGACACACAGACATGCGACAGGGAGAATTGATAGGTCTTCAGTTTTTTCAGATTACAGCCCAATTATATAAATAAATGCGCATTTTTTTAATAAATGCCGAAGAAGTCTGTCGATATTTATTTTATTTTTTTTATCAATATATGTCTGTGATATTTTTAAAACAGTTGGTTCTCCATTAATGGGTGTTCAGACTCGGATGTAATGTTACTTCTCACACGCTCTAAGTTTTTAAAGTACTGATTTTATGTATCTATAAATAAAACTCATCCATACTTTCAAAATTCAGCATTATGCCATTTTATAATAATTAATAATATAAAACGATTTTTTTTACATAACATCTCATAACATGTGGCACCATGACCAATTGTAACATTTTTGCTGATAAAGTTCCGTAACACGTTGCCGAATTTTGTTTCTTTTTAAATCAAACTCAAAATAATTATGTGCAATATTATAACATTACAAATTGTTTCTTACTTATGAGAGTCGGTACCACAATAAAAGTACAGTTGAGCGTCGTTTATCCGAAGGTCGGTTATCCAAAGAAATTCCAGTCGACAAATTTAAATTTTTGCCAGTGCTGTGGCGCTGTAATCTTTGGCTATGTCTTCGGCTACTCAAATATTTTACGTTTTCGATACTAAATTAACATCTGAAGTATAATTTTTTATTATTTTTATATATTTTAATGTATTTATTTTGTTCGTACAAAATAAAAAAATAATTTTTAACGATACAATAGTCTTCGTTAGGCTTAACAACGACGAAAATTCAACGCGAAGCAACACGCAAAGGAGAAAAATTTCAACACGGGATGGGTTATAATATTTTTTCGTACATAATCGGTTATCCGAAAAATAAAATTATTCGAACGACCCCAGTCCCCAATTGATTTAGATAAACGACGATCTACTGTAAATTATTCGTCATTAGCAAACTCGATGAATAAACATATTACTCATTAGCTGCATCCAACTTATTTTTTACTTTAGTTATTAAGCATCTGTGCATATAATATTTATTTAACATTAAGCAAAGCATCCTGGAACCACTTTTAATTGGATAGGGACTATATTAATCACGCAGTAAATGATATCTGTTGACCTGTGTACTAAGCAATATGTGCTTCTAAGAAATGTTGGAATTCCATGAGGATAGGATATTTCTTGACCCGAAATGCACATGAAAAAAATCCTCGTACACTTACTTTATACTTATACATTAGTTGCGTTGAAAGAAGTTTTTATTGCATATACATTCATGTTTTATATATGAAACGAAGTGTGAAGGAGTGACGTAGATACTAGTGATGTGCCGGATATCCGAGGAAAAAAAAAGATCCGTATCCGTATCCGTTACTTTTTAGCGAATCTTTAACGGATCTTTTATCTNTTAGTTGACATTACTTTAGTTTTCTTTACATTTAGCTTCAAACCAAATTTAGCACTTTCTTCTTTTACCCTTATGATAAGTTTTTCTAAATCTTCTTTGCTTTCTGTGAAAAGGGTGGTATCATCTGCATACCACCCTTTTGACATGGAGTTTTGCCGGTCATTTATTAACTGTTTTCACCAGAAGAAATTTTAATTGAAATAAGGTGGCTTTCGGTCTTCACCAAAAGTTCGTACACAGTTAATCGATGTCGCGTGCTCCAAATCTTTCCATGTTATCTGGTCTTGGCTTTCATTTTCCTCCGAGATTAAGAAGAAACTGACACACAGACATGCGACAAGGAGAATTGATAGGTCTTCAATTTTTTCAGATTACAGCCCAATTATATGAATAAATTCGAATTTTTTTAAATAAATGCCGAAGAAGTCTGTCGATTTTATTTTATTTTTTTATCAATATATGTCTGTGATATTTTGAAAACAGTTGGTTCTTTATTAATGGATGCTCAGACTCGGATGTAATGTTACTTCTCACAGGCTCTAAGTTTTTAAAGTACTAATTTTATGTATGTATAAATAAAACTCTTCTCTACTTTCAAAATTCAGCATTATGCCATTTTATAATAATTAATAATATAAAACGGATTTTTTACATGAAATCTCATAACATGTGGCACCATGACCAATTGTAACATTTTTGCTGATAAAGTTCCGTAACACGTTGCCGGATTTTGTTTCTTTTTAAATCAAACTCAAAATAATTATATGCAATACCATAACATTACAAATTGTTTCTTACTTATGAGAGTCGGTACCACAATGAAAGTAAATTATTCGTCATTAGCAAACTCCATGCATAAACATATCACTTATTAGCTGCATCCAATTTATTTTTTACTTTAGTTATTAAGCACTTGTGCTTATAATATTTAGTTATGATTAAGCAAAGCATCCTGGAACCATTTCTAATTAAATAGGGACTATATTATTCACGCAGTAAATGATATCTGTTGAACTATATACTAAGCAATATGTGCTTCTAAGAAACGTTGACATTCCATGAGGATAGGATATTTCTTGACCCGAAATGCACATGAAAAAAATCCTCGTACGCTTAGTCCATACTTATTTACATACATTAGTTGCGTTGAAAAAAGTTTCTATTGCATATACATTCATGTTTTATATATGAAACGAAGTGTGAAGGAGTGACGTAGATACGTAACGTCCTGTACATTACTTTGTACACACGTATGAACTTTCAGACATAAAGTTGACAACGTTGACACCATTTTATATCTTTGTTCTAGTGGAGGGTCAGAACGTCCAGAAATGGGAAAACATCGAACTTTGATTGATTAACATAACTTCTTTATGATATATTATAACATTTACGATAATAAATTGTAAATTGATTGTACTTCAATTTGAAAAATTTTAAGTCAGTGATTATTTGAAACTTTAACTAAGTGTTACTTTCTCGATTGTTATGTATGACATAAGGGAAGTCGGTCACAAAATAATTCCCCGAACATTTTCGTTTTTTAACTTAAAATAGCTTAAAACGTCGAAAAATTAAAAAATTTCGAGGAATTTTTGTATGCATAAAAGTCAGCGTGTGTGGAATGGCACGATGATTTTCTTTAACCTTGTTTTATAGTTTAATAATTACAAAGCTTTTTGTCGAAAATTTCTGAAATTTAGAAGGAAAATTTGTTTATTAAGGGAATTCATGCTTTTAAGTTTTTTTATNAATGGCACGATGATTTTCTTTAACCTTGTTTTATAGTTTAATAATTACAAAGCTTTTTGTCGAAAATTTCTGAAATTTAGAAGGAAAATTTGTTTATTAAGGGAATTCATGCTTTTAAGTTTTTTTATATAATTAAACGTCGATGGGCTGAAAAGATAATGCTGGTCGTGTGTATCTTCAGTTGGGTCGGACTTAATGACGAGTTTACTGATTTTCTCATTTACAATGTTGTTATAAAACTCATTTATACCTTGAAAATTAAGTTTATACTAAAAATATGTTTAAGAAAACATCATAAGAGATGGCGCCACACGTAGTTTTAAATGTTTCCGGAAAAGTTAAGCACTCGTTGCTGGTTTATTTAATAACGAAAACAAGTTCCTAATCATATTTATTATAATTTCTATTACACATCACACCATTTCTCCGTGACTCAGGTAGTTTCGGCTTGTGATTGAAATTAATTGATGTAGTGAAACATGTCATTTAATCTTCTTATGTTAATTAATGAAAATATGCTCAGTTTTACTTTATATTTCAAGATTCTCTTAGTATCCTTTAACACAAAATGTTTGTAAATTCCACTACAGACATAAAGAAAGAAGAAGTAGAAGAGAATTATGATGTAAAACATGGTATAAAATCAGAATGTAAAGTTGTTTTGAAAAAATTGAAGATTGAAGTAAAGACTGAAGACTGTAAAGAAGTTGTTTATCATCCAGATGATAATGAACAGGTAATGATACGTACTGTAATACAAATTACTCTGAGATTTTAATATTAACTTAGCTTTCTGAATGGTTGAAAACGTAGCTCAATATCACTAATATAATATTATGCTTTTAATTTAGGNACCGCATGCTGCAGCCTACTGCTACACAACATGTACCACTTGATGTCATTTCAGCGCAGATTATAAAATATTACGTTTGCAAGAAGAGTTCGGAACAGATATTGTTTACTTCTGCATGCAAGGAAACAAAGCGAACCGGAAGTATCAATGGTCCAGGATGTTTTTATGCTGGTGCTGCCATCTGGCGTGATGAATACGGTCAATAGCCGCTGTATATGTTAGGGAGACATACGAATTTTAGAAAGGCTTAGGTGGGGCATAGCACAAAAAAGGTTGGGAAACACTGCACTAAACTATTGTGGCGATAGGCTATATTTTTGTAAATATTTTTCAAATAATTTCAGTTTAGTTTCGTTTCTTCTTTCTACGCTTTGTTCTATTGTTCTATTTTTTTTTTTCTAGAACTTTCTTATCTATTCCCTGTCCCTTGGGTGGGATGAGCAGTTCCTAGAAATTTGAGGAGCAAAGGTGTAAACAGGAGCCGGAGAAAAAAGAGAAATGACGTAGCAGGTCATTCGTAAACCGGACGAGGTGAAAATACTGGGAGTCGTATTTTTAATTACTGACCGGATAGTTCAGAAATAAGTTCAGAATAAAGATCCTGTTTTAAGGTCGTATTGACGACTGTGGAAGGAAAAATCCTAATTATTGAAGAAAAGAACTGGCCAGTTATAGGAAAAAGATGTGTGTTATCCTACCCAACAGTACGCATAAAGAAACAAGCCGAAAAAAGGGACAAAACCCCAGATATCCCTATTTCTATCTTATCTACCATTTTTTTTTGTCTTGTTAATTCTATCCCTTTTTCTGTTATTAGTGTTAAGTTAGTGTTTAAGGTTCCGGGTTATATTGTCGCAATCGGGATCTATATTGTACACGTGCTTTGGATACAGCTAACTATTATTATCGCTGTAATTTCGCATGCTACTGTTTGTACGGTGAAGTTGGAATCCCCCGAAATAGAATCTGTATAAAGACGCGAAATAGCTTAATTGGAAAATTATATCAACTTTTGTTATTTTATCCTGTCTGCCTTTGTGGTGAATTCTAATTTAGCACACTTTTACACCATAAACAAAAACACGCGCAGTGCAAGTCAAAACACGTCGCGTTACTAACGCAAAGCGTCAACTATCGGTTCAAGGTCACACGCACCGGCGCCGACTGAGTACGAAAGTTGAGATCCCGTATCCGTATCCGCGGATCTAGGAACTAATGATCTGTATCCGTATCCGCGGATATACATTTTTAACGATCCGGCACATCACTAGTAGATACGTAACGTCCTGTACAGTACATTGTACATACGTCTGAATTTTCAGACATAAAGTTAACAACGTTGACACTATTTTATATCTTTGTTCTAGTTGAGGGTCAGAACGTCCAGAAATGGGAAAACATCGAACTTTGATTGATTAACATAACTTCTTTGTGATATATTATAACATTTACGAGAATAAATTATAAATTAATTGTACTTCAATTTGAAAAATTTTTAATCCGTGATTATTTGACACTTTAACTAAGTGTGTTACTTTCTCGACTGTTATGTATAACAGAAGGGAAATGGTCACAAAATAATCCCCCGAACATTTTTATTTTTTAACTTAAGATAGCTTAAAACGTCGAAAAATTAAAAAATTTCGAGGATTTTTGTATGCATAAAAGTCAGCGTGTGTGGAATGGCACGATGATTTTCTTTAACCTTTTTTATAGTTTAATAATTACAAAGCTTTTTGTCGTAAATTTCTGAAATTTAGAAGGAAAGTATGTTTATTAAGTGAATTCACGCTTTTAAGTTTTTGTGATTGAAGGTCGATGGGCTAAAAAAATAATGCGGGTCGCGTGTATCTTCAGTTGAGTTGGACTTAATGACGAGTTTACTGATTTTCTCATTTACAATGTTTTTATAAAACTCATTTATACCTTGAAAATTAAGTTTTTACTAAAAAATACTTTTAAGAAAATATCATAAGAGATGGCGCCACACGTAGTTTTAAGTGTTTCTGGAAAAGTTAAGCACTCGTTGCTGGTTTATTGAATAACGAAAACAAGTTTCTAATCATATTTATTATAATTTCTATCGCACATCACACCATTTCTCCGTGACTCGGGAAGTTTCGGCTTGACATCGGAATTAATTGACGTAGTAAAACATGTAATTTAATCTTATTATGTTAATTAATGAAAATATGCTGTTTTATTTTATATTTCAAGATTATCCTTTAACACAAAATGTTTGTAAATTCTACTACAGATATAAAGAAAGAAGAAGTAAAAGAAAATTGTGATGTAAAACATATTATAAAATCAGAAAGTAAAGTTGTTTTGAAAAAATTGAAGATTGAAGTAAAGACTGAAGATTGTGAAGATGTTCATCTTCCAGATGATAATGAACAGATAAAAGTAAGTAATACAAATTTCGAAATATTTTACAGTGAAACTTTAATATTAACTTAGCTTTCTGAATTGTTGAAAACGTAGCTCAATATCACTAATATAATATTATGCTTTGAATTTAGATGTATTCTGTATTAAATAAAAAAAATGTGTATTTTTATAAGANTAATTATTATAAAGTGAAGAAATGCTTAATTTTAATTGTGGAAATGTAACAACATATAAAATTTTCATTAAGTCCGATCCCACTCAAGATTTTACACTTTATCATTTTATATCTCTTTACCCCTGAATGTTTTATTACGAAAATTTAATAGCACCTTTTATACAACGTACGGTGTTAAATTTCGTTTCTTAATCTTCAATTTATTCTGAAATATTAAATGAAGAGACGTCAAAATACATGCCCACACACATATTCATAAAATTTTTCGCAATGTTTTTTGAGTGTAGAAGATCTGAAAATTTACCACAATTCAATACTTTATTTTGTTATGCATTTATAACATTCCTAAAAGTAAAAAATGAATTTCAACATTAAATTTATGTATGCAAATTATAATGTTTCAAACTTTTCTCAATTGGTAGTTTGAGTATTTCTCCCTTTTTCCGCACGATTAATTAGAGAATAAACAATGCGTTTTAATTTCAGACCGATCGATGGGGTTGGTCAGGTCCACAATGGATGCGGCCACATATTGAGGGTTAACCGACATACAGGAGGACCTCAGATTTACGAAACCCTTGGCAAAATTTATATTGTGACTCATTAAGACGACGATAGTACAGAATATCTGATTTATTTATTATTTCTAATACTGTGAAGACATTAATTAGATAAACACAGATTACAACAAATTAATAAAGACTGCAATTTCTAATTTTAATTACAGTAGAGCATCGATTATCCGAATCCACTGGGGTTGGTTGGATAACTGAAAAAACGAATAACCAAAAAATATGAAAAAATACATTATTAGTATAGTATATTAGTAGGCCTATATCCCATGTAATTAGTATATTAGTACAGTAAGTATATAGCTATTAACCTACTTCGCGTTGAATTTACATCGATGTTAAGTCTGACAAAAAATTTTTAAAAATAATAATTGTTGCTATTGTATCGTTAAAAATTAGAAAATTAAGCCTCGTTTCCCGACTAGAACGCGGTCGGTTAATCGGGGGTCGGATAATCGATGCTCAACTATAGTTGTAAAGTAGCAGTTGATTACAAGAAAATAATAGAAACGTTGCGGCCGAAGTTTTCATTACTCAAACGCGAACGTCGATCGCCGCTATCTTGTAATCCTAGAAGTTTGATAATGGCGTTTGGAAAGTGGCGAATAGAAGTTAGACTTAAACGTTCACTTTGTCTGTGTTTTGTGTTAAATTTATGACGTATTTTATTAAAATAATGATTTTTCAAGCATTTGCGAATAACACTGTAAAGATACAGACGATTTTAATTCAGAAATTATTAAATTATTCAATTTTTTTGCAAGTAATGTAAAGTGCCTGTTGAATATATTTGTGTTCATAACAGCTTATCGTAATACTGTAGAACAGTGTTTCTCAACCTCTATCGAAACGTCGCCCCCTTCAATGTAGTATGAACCCTTCACTACAAAATTCCGTACCCGAGGGACAAGGCTAACGCCAAATTCGTACTGCATCGAATAAACTAGTGACTATATAATGTTATTTGTTTAATTATTGTACGATAAAACGAATAAAATATCTAATTATTCTTAATATAGTGTTTTACTATATCGCCCCAAAAATTGTTTTTTCACCCCCCCAAAATATAAATTGTTACTAATCGCCCCCTAAACATGGAAAAACGCCCACACGGGGCAATATCGCCTTCGTTGAAAAACACTGCTCTAGAAGTAAGTTTGTTTTTTTACTGCATTTTCTGCTATTAACAGCATAACACGTTTGTAAATTTCTAAAAAGAATTTCCTAAGCTGCTTTCAAATTTATATAAGCCACAACTTTTTTCTGGGCTTTCACTACGCTAAATTACTTTATAAATAACATAGATCTGTAGCAAAATCAGCCTACTTCAATAGTAATATGTTTTTTAATGAGAAAATGGAAAATGAAGAGTCTCGTTCAGAGTAGGCTATATAAAATCACAGAATAGGGATTTTTAATTTATAAGTGTGTAGAGACATTTATATTACTTTTCCGACTGTTAGGCCTATATATTACAGAGGGAAAGTATGACGATCGGTCAGATAATGACTCCCCATGATATTTACATTTCTAAACTTAGAACAACTTAGAACACCTTCAAACGTCGAAAAATGCAAAAGAAAAAAAAAACGTGGGAAATTGAGGTTATTAAATTTTACTGCTTAAAAATGAAGAGGTTGAGAGATAATGGAGGTCGTGTGTATCTCCCGTAGGGTCGGATTTAATGATGATTTCGTTATTCACATTTAACTTTTTTATAAAACTCATCTGTACTTTCAAACTTCANGGCGAATAGAAGTTAGACTTAAACGTTCACTTTGTCTGTGTTTTGTGTTAAATTTATGACGTATTTTATTAAAATAATGATTTTTCAAGCATTTGCGAATAACACTGTAAAGATACAGACGATTTTAATTCAGAAATTATTTAATTATTCAATTTTTTTGCAAGTAATGTAAAGTGCCTATTGAATTTTTATATATTTGTGTACATAACAGCTTATCATAATACTGTAGAAGTTTGTTTTTTACGGCATTTTCTGCCATCAACAGCATGACACATTTGTAAATTTCTAAAAATAATTTCCTAAGCTGCTTTCGGATTTATATAAGCCAGAACTCTCCTCTGGGCTTTCACTACGCTAAATTACTTTATAAATAACATAGATATGTAGCAAAATCAGCCTACTTCAATAGTAATATGTTTTTTAATGAGAAAATGGAAAATGAAGAGTCTCGTTCAAAGTATATAAAATCACAGAATATGGATTTGTAATTTATAAATGTGTAAAGACTTTTTTTTATTACTTTTCCGACTGTTATATATAACAGAGGAAAAGTACGACGATCGGTCAGATAATGACTCCCCATGATATTTACATTTCTAAACTTNATATAGCATAACCATTCCAATATAAAACCAACCGTGATCGAATCCGCTTTCCAACGATGTATCAAACAATACAATCCGACCAATATATCCAGTATAAACCTCAACGAAATAACGAGCGCTGAGTAGTACGTCTTGACCCTTCGACGACCCTTTCACTATTACACACACACAACTCTTTAACAGAAAAACAATTTAATTTCGACAATGCTGTATAACTGGCCTTTCAGAAATTCATTAACACTCGTTCTCCAGGGTTTTATACCACCGGCCTGAACAACCTGCCGCTTAAGTGGCAAAAGTGTATAGACGATATAAGTACATACTTTGATGAATAAAATAATTTTTTATATTTGTAAGTTATCAACCAACTTTGATTTTTTCCACAAATTTCATCCTTGACGACCCGTACACTAATGATTTCTTTTCCTCTGTAAAAGCACACAATTTTTTTAACGTTTCTATGATAACCACTGGAACAAACTACATAAATAAAATAAATATAACAGATAATGTAAAACAATTTAATTTCTGTGTTTGGTTAGCACAATGTTGCTGTTGAGAACGTATCATACAGGAACACTTTAAGAGGAAAAAGGGTTGCTTTATTGACTTGGACGGACAAACAATTAACCAACCCTCATATCATACTTCATCAGGCTTCATCAGGCCAACAATATCCAAAAAAACATCCTTTTCGAATTTGAAAATGAAAACAACAACAATCTCAATTTTTTAGACATCACCATACACAGACATAACAAGCACATTACTTTNTATAATAGTTAAAAATATCATATTATATTTAAAAAACGTTTCATTACAGACAGCCACCAAAATTTTAAAATGCCGGGAAAGTTAAGCAACTCGTTACTGCTTTATATATCATAAGTGATTATTCGTGATTATCATGTATTGTTTTGCGTATTGTCTAGCCTGTCAACAATGAATTTTTCACTGCGGAAGAAAATTTTAACAGAAATGAAATGAACATACAAAGTAAGTAACATGTTACTTAGTTCAAACTTTTTTATTAGTATTATTCAAAGAACTGCTGAAGAACAGCATTCAAGATTCAACTGTCACACATTTAACTGGGATCAGATATTTTAGTACTATAAATCTATCTATATCGTATTAATATAACTTTTGAAGTTAATAAAAATCTTTTGGGATAATCAAAATTACTAAATAACAACTCATGAGTTGTGATTTAATGGTTTGTGTTATCTGCTTTGTTCATGGATCCGCTAAGATAGTAAAGAGGATGTATTGAATTGAAGTAAACGAAGGCTATATAACTTAATTTATGACATAAGTAAATATTTGCAACGTGTTAGAAAACACGTAGCAAATATTCTTGAAAAACGTTGTGCAGATATTATTGTCATACGCTCAAATTATCGTATTTTTATTCAAAAAATCTGAAGAATCAGCCGATTTTGCCTCTCTACTTAAAATCCGTGGACTTTGCTGTGGTGCTTTTTCATTTATTAGGTCGTCAAGGATGAAATTTGTAGGTAATAATGTTGCTTATCTCAGAGTGCCAATGAATTATCGTTGAAGTTTGGTGTTTGCAAACAGACAATATTAACTCATTTAGCTCAAAAAGTTGGATAACTGAGTTCCACACGAACTGAATGTTTGGAAGCATTTAGAAGCTTGCGTTTGAAACAAAAGCGTTTGGAAGCTTGCTTCATGTTGCTTTCTCTTCATAAATGTGATTCATTTGTGATGAGAAATGGATCTAATATAACAATCACGAACGTTCAGCACAGTGGTTGG